AAAAAAAAAAAAAAAAACACATCATAGTAAAATTAATACCTTCTCAGCTTCGCATCGAAGCTAAAAGGTCATTAGCCCCAGTTGATAAATTTGAGGGACTAATAATTTTATCAAGATTTGAAATATACCTTTGATAACGGGAATTTTTTCTTTTTTAATTTAATTTAATTTATTTTACACTTCTATTTAATTATAACAATTTATCATATAATTTTTCATACATGATATTTATGTAATATATTAAATATAAACAGATTTTTATCTGAGTGCGGTAGAAAATAGATATTAGTATTCAGTAAAAATGACTAAAACTCGCATATTTCTATATTATAGCATAAATATTGCATTTTTAATAATAAGATAGTTTCGGGTAATAAGGCTCATCTAAAGGAAATTTGAAATATAACAATAAAAACTATATCAAAATCAACTAATTTTAATGTTAAGTAAACCTATAGATTCATTACTCATAAAATATAAACAAAAAATGGCAACTTTTGTTGTAAACAAAAACAAATCAAACATTTTTAATACCTATATATATAAATTTTTAAATTAGTCATACAAATTATGTAATTCTTAGTTTTTATAATGTAAATTATGACCAACTTAAATTTGGCCTATCCAGTTTTATTGTTTTTGTTTCCTGAAACGAGTACAAATTAAGGGGGCTATAATTATTCATTTATAATCATGAATTTATTACTAATGTATTAATTTATTTAATAATATATTAATTTAGATAAAAAATTTTAGCTTCGATGCGAAGCGGAGAAGGTATTAATTTTACTATGATGTGTTTTTTTTTTTTTTTATGTCTGTTGCCACTTTTTCTCAGCTCTCACTGGACCGATTTCTTTCAAAAATACGTCAAAAGATCACAAATCGTATCTAGTTGAAGACATTACCCTTAAAAATTGAAAAAAATTCCCTCGTTCCCCGCAAATGGGGGAAATATCCAAAAAAATTACAAATTTAAAAATCGCTAATTTTCGAAATTTTTTCACTTTTTTTTCTTAAAACTTCCATAACTTTTTGAAAAATCAACAAATCAACATAATTTTTTTTTATACTAAAACCTTAGATATTTACCTTTCATTTGATATCATTTTTTTGAAAATCTATCACTTAACCTGCTCATTGGGGGGGATTTAAAATGGCAACTTTTTTACAAAAATTAATTTTTTCAACTTAATTTTTGAAAATGTTCCGGAAAGACTGCGTCCTTTAAACATATATCAAATTAAAGCTTATTTTATGTACTACAAAATGAAAAAAAAAAATTTGTCCCGACACTTTTTTTTCTACATTTAAACGGCTGCCGTAGTTAAAAAAACACTATTTTTGTGTTAAAATTTTCGATTTTCGATTTTAAATTTTCAACTTAAAAATGCTATAACTTTTTGAAAAATGTATATATCAGCACAAATTTTTTTTTTCTAAATACATTATAAGTACATCTTTCATTTGACATACTTTTTATTAAAATTGGACAATTTCCCCTTATATAGGGGGCGTTCAAAACTTAAAATATTGTAAAAAACATAGATCTTTTTCAACTGAACTTTTGAAAATGTTCCGGAAATACTGCGTCCTTTAAACATATATCAAATCAAAGGTTATGTTATATACTATCAAATGAAAAAAAAAAATTTGTCCCGACATCTTATCTTCTATGTGCAAATGGCTGTCGAAAATTTAAAAAAAAATGTAATGTTTGCGATAAAAATTACATTTTATCGGGATGTTTTTTGTACTTAAAACTGCCATAACTTTTTCAAAAATGAACAAATAAAAATAATATTTTTTTGTATTGAAACCTTAGATATTTCCCTTTCATTTGATATAATTTTTTTTGAAAATCTAACACTTATTCTGCTCACTGGGAGGATTTAAAATAGTAACTTTTTTACAAAAAATAACTTTTTCAACTTAATTTTTGAAAATGTTCCGGAAATACTGCGTCCTTTAAACATATATAAAATTAAAGCTTATTTTATGTACTACAAAATGAAAAAAAAAAATTTGTCCCGACGATCTATCTTCTATACGCAAATGGCTACCATATTGAAAAATATACTATTTTTGTATGATAATTATGGGTTTTGTATTTTATTTTAATAGAAGTTGATGTTGCTTTTGCAATTATCCATCAATTTTTTAAAATTAAACACTATCTACAGATTTGCATCGAAGCGTTTCTTATGATAGTGATTTTAATCACTGTCAGATTAAATCTATACTGGACCCTACTATGCAATGTCTCCACTATGCCGCGACCCCACTGTGCTACCGTTTTTTTTAATTGTTTTTTTGTTTAATTTAATATACAAACCTTATTTGAATTTTTACAATTTCCCATCATAGACGAATAAATATTATATAACTGACTTGATTGATAAACAAATAACAGCACTACATTCTAAAAAATTGTTTCCGATTATACATCATAATAACAATCCAGGTATACCTGCCAGAAATTACAACTTTATAATTTTGATAAAACTAACTAAACGTTGGCAAAAAATGAATGATATAACAAACATTACTCAAAACTACAAATTTAACAGAATATTCATAATAAAAGTTAATATTTAAAATTATATTTTTAATAAGAAAAAATGCAATTTAAAAAGAAATAAGTACATTAGCAATTATAATTAATAATCGTTCAAGTAATTAAAATGTAAAAATGTTTTCATATTATCTTATCGTTGATAATTTTTGTAACTGATGAGGAATTGTACAACATTATTGTAAAATATTGGCACAATAATGTAAAACTTCATAACGGCCTAAACCACTGAAATTGCTGCCAATCAAAGAGATTTTATCTGTTTTCATAGTCTGTGCTTCTATATTTGAAATTCCACGTTTTTATTTTTTAATTTATGCTTCAATAACTACGTGAGTAAATACAGATAATATAATTCGAACCATGACATAATTTAATATAATATAGATAATAATAATTAAATAATACATAATTTAAAATAAAAAGTCATAAAAGTATGAAATAATAGAAATCTACAATGGAAAATAGCATAATTATGTGATATATTTTTGTTATCCGTGTAGCAAAACCGCTTCACACAATGAATGACTCTGAACTGGCGATATCGCGTTTGAGACGCCATTTCGAATGTTAGCTACCTATATTTGTGACCGATTAAAAAATATTAAATTGGATTTTTATTGCTTAGGCCTTATTACTCGACAGAATTTTTTACCTGATATTACTTTATTAGAGATATTTTTTTTTAATTTTGCAATAAGTTATAAAATGAAAATACCTTTTCAGCTTCACATCAAAGATAAAAATATATGAATATTTTTTCATGTGTTTTAATCAAATAGTTAAATAATCCTATATTCAACATATTTTCTTTTATTAATAAATATTAAAATTTTGGAATTCACAAAAAGAGTGATTTTAAAATTTGTTTCTAAAAAATAAGATTTTTAAATAGTTACTTTTCAGCACTTTTCTTACAAAAAAGTATTTATAGATCAATTAAAAATTTAAGACGAATATTTTAAAACATCTAAAAACATTTAGAAGATGATATTTTAAAATTTTTTGTTTGAAAATAACCTAGATTCCCAAAAATGTTAACCCCTATGATATTTTTACAAGCCTATTAATATTTGTATTAGTTAACCTTAACTCAGTAAATTAATGAGATTTAACTATTAATTCGATTTATTTGAAACATTATTAACTTTTGCTATTAACTCATGAAATTTTTTGTTGCACTTTTTAATAAATTTTTAATATTTTAATGAGTTAAAATATATATATGACACATATATATATATATATGTCTAAATATATTATTTTAAAAATAAAAACTAATATTTAATTCCTATTAGAACAATTTGTAGTTAACCTTAAGAGGGTTCACTAGAAATTTTTTTAAAAATTAATATCATTTTATATAATAGTATATTGTTTCATTTTTCCAGAATAACGGAAAAATACAACCGGGTTACAACAATGTTGATGATGTAAGTGTTTAAAATTAGCTAATTATTTTTATCCAGTTAAAATACATACCCAAATTGCTCTAATATTTAAAATGATAACCTTTTTTATTCACAATAAATCCTAGAAAGTCGTTTATTAGTTAAGAAAAAAATAATTTTAATTATATACTTAATATAAATCCAGAAATTTAAAATTCAGTAAGATTGTTTAACATTATTTAACATGATATTGCTTCTTGTCAGTTTTGTATACTCGCGAGCAATAAAATATGAATTAAACTTATTTATGCAAATCTATTCACGACTTATGTTTTAAACGACTATTTAGAGTTTATATAATTTAATTATTTTTAGACATAAAACATTATCAAACATATTGGTGGGCTATTAGGTCAAATGTTGATTTTAAAAAGAAAGTAATTTAAATAATTGTTTTATTATCAAGATAATCTTAAGTTTATAATTTGTCAATAGTATGCCGTGTACAATCCATCGCTATTCCTCAACGGGAAATATTGAACATTTTCCATGTACACAGCAAGAACTTCCGCTTATGCATGCTAATGTTTGGCCACAGTGCATCATATTTTTATTGTATATTGCACGTCCTATTGCGACCTGAGTTGAGACCAATTAAAGGTTGGGCCTATCCGTCACTGAAGTATTTCCCTCTTAAACAACTACCCTTCTTGGAGTCACTAATTCTTCATCCGATATCGTTTGTCTCTATTTGCCCTGTATCTGGCGAAGACTCGTAATATCCTGACGCGCAAGGTTATTTGCACATATATTTGATATTCGTCAATCTGTATAGTCGTTGCCTCATCATTGGACCAATGTCATCATTCACGTCTTCAGCATTTCTACACATACATACTTTTTACTGCTATTATTCACCATTTATCTATTTTACTTTATTAACAGTACAGTCTTTTTTCAATTTTTTATTATATATCTTTGCTGTTTTGTTCGTCAGCTATTTTAGTTATAAGGACCCTCTACGATTTTTAATTATAAATTATTAAAGAACTTTTAATATATTTGTTTTTGTTATCTACATAATCTCTATACGTCTATGCGTCATTTGTTGAATGTGCAATTACCCAAGGTAAGCCCTCTCATCCACTCCTCTAATGAATGTAAATAGGGTTCAGGAAAGACGGTAATCTAATACTTAAAAGTCCTACTGTCTAGCGAATCGAAACGAAAATTATTATTGTTTCGTTCGAGACAGCTGTACATATTTAATTATTACAATTATTAAATTGGGACGGTGTGACCGAGTCGGTAACGCGGCAGTGCTTGACGCGCACTGACTCGGGTTCAAAACTCGGTCACGGGCGGCTTCATTTGCCGAACGATGATCAGTTGGGTTATTGGAGTCACCATCCCATTCTCCGGCGACGGACTAATCACGCAGTATAAATGGTTAAGAAAACCTCCCCCTAGGGGGACGTTGCTATGGTCCTTAATGGACTAATAAAAGCAATAAAAAATATTAAACATTTTTGGAACAAAAAAACCTATGGCTATAACAAATAATGTTTTGTTTTTTTTAAAAAAAATTTTTTTTTCTTTTCTGTTTCCTTACTTTTTAAAATAAAATATGAGATCATATTTTATCTAGAACATAAGGGAGTGGAATATAGATTTAAATTATAAACAAAGTATAATATAATTTACTGATTTTTCTAAAATGCATTTATGTTACTAAATTATAATACAAACATTGTTTAATTTATTAACTGGGCCATAAATATACAAGAACAATAAAATGTTGTTGTTGAGAATAGTTGAGAGTAAAAATCCCGATGAGTGGAATCTGGGTTTAATCAACTTGCCTAAAAATTGAGTATGAATAGTCTTAAAAATATTTTTTAATTTTATCAAATTATACCTTAGAAATTATTATAAGAATATGCATACATTTATTAATAATTAGCAAATATTTTAATACATTGAGACAAATGTTGTGAGGGTGGGTCGCTCCGTACCACTACTTATATTTATTATGTATATTCCATTGCGTTTAATCTTATTCAAAAAACAATTTTCTTATTTTTGTCTCTGTTTTGTACGAAGCAGTAAGACAATTAATTGTGCACTGCACTAGATTTTCAACTTATCTTAAGCCTGTATACGATTAACTAAAGAAGCTGATGAGAGGACACACCTGATTGGATGCCGAGTGGGTGTCGGCTAACATCCAATAAATGACGCGAAAACAAAAATTACATAACAAATAAATACATAGAGTACAAGATTCACCAATAAGTATCTTAAATTTAAGGAGTAGCGAGGGGTCTTAAATACTAATGGCTGGCAAAGCAAAATACAAAATTTAACTGAATAAATGAAGTCGATGATAGATTTGAGCAGACTGTATGAGATATCGTATTAATGATGTTAAAACTCGTTGACGACTGATGTGGGTTCCACGGTAATGGAAATGCTCAGCACAAACGCAAAAAGGCGCCGAAAATAATTAAGCGCTACAAGGAAGATGTATAACTTGTATGTAACGTAGATGTTCTTCAGTAATGGTCAGGGTTTCAATCACTGAAGGTGTGCAAGGGCACGCCTTTAAGACTGAGCACAATGGTGCACCATAATTTTAGTACTTGTTTTGTACAAAAAATTATGGCGCACGATGACCGAAAAATAGACAAGCCAGTGAAAGCGCTTGTTGTAAAGGGTGACACATAAAAATATTTGTACAGACCGAGAAATGTACACAGCAGACAACTGACGCGTAGCCTGTCGATTTGCCATGCTGGTTTGCGAGGGATAGGCGACGCTAGAAATCAGTTATCACGTAATATGTACTCAGCGGTATTTATAACAGCTGATCCACTAGGTCTTTAATAAAGGCGCTCTCGCCAAACAGTCTCTATATTTAAGATTAAATGATATGTTATGATTTTTTTAGCTTTGTGGAAATTCACGACCTGCTACAGAATATCCTAATGTAAGTATTGATTATAAGTAAATCGTAATACGTCATTTAATTTTTCTAAATACAATTTTATTGATGTTTTAGGAAAACACATTAGAGCCAACCTATTCGAGTGATCATGTGACTGGACATGTATATAATTAATTTTAATTAAATCATTTATTATTAATATGGACTTACCTTTTTACATACTATAGTACAACCATTTTTTACAATTATATTTGTTTTTAAGCCTTAATAGATAAAGGGTGCAGGACTTCTTAATTTTGTTTTATGAAACTGAAAAAATTGCTTTTTTTATGATCAATAATTGAATTATCGGATATTTTTATTTTATTAAATCGTCTAATGATATTTATAGTTTTTCATACGAAATTTGTGGCGTGAGGTGACATGGTGGTTACACTAGTTGTTGAAAAAACTCTAGTGTTAAGCCGCGCCTATCACCGTAGGTGAACGGATGGGTGACCACGCGTGCATTTCTGCGGTGGCGAAAAAAACACCATGTTCCCAGTTCAGAAGGCAACGGGAAACTACTGAAATTAAATTTCCCCAGGATATAGCAATCCAGTTGGGATTAACCAACCCAACAGTTGTAAAAAAAATAAAATAAAAAATTAACAAGAAGATTCATTTTAAACTTAATACTATTCTATTAAAAGCTTTTAAACGTAATTATTGAATGAGATATATAACATAATAGGTAAACTTAAAATATATACATTTTTTTTTTATGAAGTATGAGTTGATTTATTTAACGATATTAAAAAATTGTTTTTTTTTAGTTCTTTTTAAAAAGAAAAATGTTGTTGACACTTCTTATTTATTAAGGCTTAATTTTATAAAATCTGATATCATTAAAAATGATATGAAGTTTAATTTATTACAATAATCTCTTAGCTTCGATGTGATATTAATTAATAAACAAAAACATAACAGAAAATTTCATTTTTTAACAATTTGTATTTTGAAAAATGTAGTACAGTCAGAACATGACATAATGAAGACCAGTATAGATTGAAACCTGATAGTGGTTAATAGCACTCTCAAAATGCTTTAATGCGATTGTGCATATAAAGTTTTAAGACATTTTTCTAATTTCGTAAAATTAAGGGTACTGTTTTTATTTTTGTAACTGATTACTTCAACTAAATTTGTACTCCGTTTAACATAACCCACTCAATTACTTACAAAATAAAAATAACTTTATGAATATATTCTTACTGTTTTTAGAGACATTATATAATTCTTAATTTATTAATTATTAAGTCTTTTTGTTTGTACTCGGGCGGGGGGGGAAATGAAACCAAGAAACTTCTAGTGATAATAATAGAAGCACCCATGCTTCAACTCTAGTTATTACTTTAATTTTCTTAATTACATCAGTATCAGTAGCAGTATTAATTGTGCATGGAAATTGTTTGAAAAAGTAAAGTTGACACTCTTATAATGGTATAAAGGAAAAACCAATAAATAAAATAATAACTGATAAATTAAGAAGTATTTGTATCTAAAAAAAGTAATCAGTTGAGTAGGTTATAATAAACGGGTTACCTATAAATCATCAATGAGAGCCGATTATTTTTATAAACAGACATAAAAAAACATATTAATGTAATATAAATGTTTTACAGTTTCGCAACAAAGATAAAAGTTTAAAAAAATATTAAAATTTTTTATTACAAAAAACTTTTAAGGGGATCCCCTCCTTTTACAGTAACGAGAAAATTTTTTTGAGAAAATATGGCAAAATACACACTCACAAAAGATTACATCATGTTAAAACCAATATGTTCACGTATCACATTGAAGCTAAATTATAAAAATTATATCAGTTATTTAACAATTTATGAGCTGCTTAAAATAATATTTCAGACAACAGATTATGCATCGAGTTTCAATACTAACGAAGTAATTAGCTAAACAAAAATTTAAAATCTTAAATAATAGAAATATAATTTGGAAAAAAAAATTTAATATTTTTATGGAATTATTAATACAGTAAATTTGTTGCACATACACACAAGATAGCCGTATCGTGTTTGAGAAATATTACTTTAGGGTAATATTTCTCTATTGTATCTATAAACCTTAGGGTAAATTAAACAAAAAATTACTTTTTTATTATATTCTTTAAAAAAATTTCAAAGCAAATTCAATGGTACAAACCCAGAAGTTCTGTTTTTAAAATTCAAAGATATATTGCGTTTTAAATTACCAAATATGAAAAGCAAGTTTTAGAAAAATGACATGAACATTATAAAGAAAAATAAATAATGAACTTATTATTTGAACACCGTTAAGTCTGTTGTATATGTATTCATATCTAAAAAAACCTTCATTAAATAAAGTGACATGATAAATTTTATTAGTGAACAAATGTGATGTTCATAACCTACATTCTTGTTAGTAGATCAATGCTAAATTAGGTCTTATAAATAAGAAAAATACAAAAAAAATTTTCCATTGTCTATGCATTAATATCAAGTGAAAATTTATTTAAATTTTTAATCAAGCTATTTTTTGACAAATACCCCTAGTGGGACAAATTCTGAAAAGAAATTGGTTTTTAGGGCTCGTGTTCTTTTATTAAATATTTTTTATGGGATTTTAAAAAGATTAATTTTTTTAAAATAACTTATTATTATTGAGATAAAGGTAATTCAAAGTTAAAAAAGTTATTCTTCCGTGATGTTGAAATATTTTTATAATCACATTGGGGCATTAAAAAAAAATTATTGTAATAAAAATCATCTCCGAGTAAACCAAATAACAATTTAAAAATAATAATTTTTTACTTGCCTTAAATTTTTTTTAATTCTAGAAATTTATATCTAACTTTCACCCATAAAAGCGACGTAGGTTGTACTTTTATATTATAATAATAATTTTTCCAAATTTTTAAAGCTATTTCAAGATGTTTTTTATGCACGAAGTCTGTTGAAAAATGTTTTCTCTACAAGATATAATCGCTTGAAAATAGATGAAAATAAACTTTTGAGGATATAGTATAGGTGTAGCGTCAATCGTAGATAAGATGAGAAAAATCGACTTAGATGATTTGGTCATATTATAAGGAGAAAGGAATCGGAAGATATAAGAACAGTTATGGAAATGAATGTTGAAAAATAAAGAGGTAGAATATGACCAAAAAAGAGATGGAGTAATGTAATTGAAGTGATATGAGGACGGATGATGTGTGCGTAGATAATGCGGAAGATCGTACCAAGTGAATGTTTAAGATAAAGGTGGCGGACCCCTAGTAGTTAGGATAAGGACGAGAAAAAAGAATTAGAAGTCATTATGATAGTCATCGTTAAGAACAAGGGTGTATTACTAAATTCTGCTGTAGGTTATTCCTATTTTTTAGCTTCGATGCGAAGCTGAGAAGGTATTAATTTTACCATGATGTGTTTATTTTTTTATTATTTTTTTTTTTTGTGACTGTCACTACTTTTTCTCAGCTCTCACTGGACCGATTTCTTTTGACAATACGTCAAAAGATCACAAATTGTATCTAGTTGAAGACATTACCCTTAAAAATTTAAAAATTTTCCCTCGTTCCCCGCAAATGGGGGAAATATCCAAAAAAATTACAAATTTAAAAATCGACAAATTTTGTCATTTTTTTCACTTTTTTTTCTTAAAACTTCCATAACTTTTTCAAAAATCAACAAATCAACATAATTTTTTTTTAAACTAAAACCTTAGATATTTTCCTTTCATTTGATATAATTTTTTTGAAAATTTAACACTTAACCTGCTCATGGGGGGGGATTTAAAATTGCAACTTTTTTACAAAAACTAACTTTTTCAACTTAATTTTTGAAAATGTTCCGGAAATACTGCGTCCTTTAAACATATATCAAATTAAAGCTTATTTTATGTACTATAAAATGAAAAAAAAAAATTTGTCCCGACACTTTATCTTCTGCATGTAAACGGTTGCCGTAGTTAAAAAAACACTATTTTTGTGTTAAAATTTTCGATTTTCAATTTTTAATTTTCAACTTAAAAATGCTATAACTTTTCGAAAAATGCATGTATCAGCACAATTTTTTTTTTTCTAAATACATTATAAGTACATCTTCCATTTGACATACTTTTTATTAAAATTAGACAATTTCCCCTTATATAGGGGGGGTTCAAACTTTGAAACATTGTATAAAAAATAGAACTTTTTCAACTGAACTTTTGAAAATGTTCCGGAAATACTGCGTCCTTTAAACATATATCAAATTAAAGCTTTTTTTATGTACTATAAAATGAAAAAAAAAAATTTGTCCCGACACCTTATCTTCTATGTGCAAATGGCTGTCGAAATTATAAAAAAAATGTAATATTTGCGATAAAAATCACCTTTTATAACGATGTTTTTTGTACTTAAAACTGCCATAACTTTTTCAAATATTAACTAATCAAAATAATATTTCTTTATATTGAAACCTTAGGTAATTTTCTTTCATTTGATATCATTTTTTTTTGAAAATCTAACACTTATTCTGCTCACAGGGGGGATTTAAAATAGCAACTTTTTTACAAAAACTAACTTTTTCAACTTAATTTTTGAAAATGTTCCGGAAATACTGCGTCCTTTAAACATATATCAAATTAAAGCTTATTTTATGTACTACTAAATGAAAAAAAAAAATTTGTCCCGACGACCTATCTTCTATGCGCAAAAGGCTACCGTATTTAAAAATATGCTATTTTTTATTAAAATTCTAGGTTTTGTATTTTATTTTATTTTAAAATATTTTATTAGGGGAATAAACTGACTTTCATGAATATTATATAATTTCATTGACATAGAATAAAGTTCATAAGACATATGATATTATACTTATTAACATTTTTTACTTTTTTAAAGTCGAAAAAGTAATTTTTAAATTTGAGTTAGCTTAAATAGCCAATTTTATCATGCAACAAAAATCAACGAATAGTTGCCGAATGGGTAACACCTTGATCTTTAACGCCTAGGGTACGAGGTTCAAATCCGTTTGTGGCTTCTAAAATTTTGCATTTTTTTTTTGAGTTAGAATAGAATTTTCAAATCATTTGATATTTATCTCATTTAGATTCAATAATTTCAATAAATATAAAGGATCTTATCACTATAGTCTCCCCTCGTGAGAAGAAATTGATATTCATGTTAATATTATTTTACTATGTGGTTCTTTTTCTGGCTACGATTTATTTTGCCAACCCTCACTAGACCTACTTTTTTCAACGATACGTCAAATGATTCATTTAAGTTTATGATATTTAAGTTAATGATTAGTTTAAGTTATTACTCTTAAAAATCAAAAAAATATTCCTTATTCAAATAAAAAGTAGCTTAACTAGATTTGTCCATACAAACAATTAAAATCATTAATTTTTAATATTCTTAAATTATTTATTGTCGAATTAAATTTGATATGATAAAAGTATTCAACTACAAAAGTAAATAATTTTACTTTATAATTTATTAATTTTTTAACTCTATTTCTGTGTGCTACTACCAGTCTATAATATGCCAAATTTTTTAGTAATATTTTGCTATATAAATCATAAATTTAAAAAAAAAATGATTTTTAGTTTCACCTGAAGTTAACGATGGAGTTTTACAATTATAATTATATTTTTGATAATATGCTCAATTGAGTAAATCTTTTTAACTACTTTGGTTTGATTGGTTCATTTAATTAAAGTAAATTATTAAAATTAATTAAGTTCTGAATATTTCAATTGCAGAATTTTTTTAAACACCAAAAGTTATTAGGATATGATTACTATTCTTTCTATTTCAGTTATCTATTACGATAAAAATGTAAAAAAATCGAATTTTTCTGACAAATGTACTGTAATTAGTAATTATAAAATTTCCAGATTGCATATTAATCTTAAAAATTTCATTTTTTTCAATTTAATAATGTCAATTTCAAACTTGCAAGTTGAACTATAAGTTATGGTAACAAATTCATTTTTTAGCTTCGATGCGAAGCTGAGAAGGTATTTTTCATTAAAACTTTCACTTTAAAAGACAATAAAAAATAGGTTCAAAATGATTACCTTTAACATATTAAAAATCAAAATCAGTATTAATTTAATACAATTTTTTTTGTTCTTAATTATTTTTTTTTATATGTAAATACTTATTTTTTAATAATAAGTAATAATATTAAAACTTAGAAGTAATAGAAAAAGTTTAATTGCACATTTGAAAACATCACGAAAAGTTTATTTAGAAAAGTATATTTTTTTTCTGATGAAAGTTCCTTTTGTTTAGTGTATTTATTCATAAGTAACAAAATTTTTTTATTAAAAAGTATTGCATAAATTCCTTTAAATTTGTATACGCATTAAAAGTATATGAATATACAACTCCTTTTTATTTTTATAATATCTCCGTAAAAATTACAATATTATATTATTGAATACCACTTTCATACTCAATTTAATTACTGTAATTATTATGTATTCATATATTATAGTTATAAATCGGGGTAAAATTAAGGGAATAAGTGTTATTGTTGTTTTTGAAATAATCTACCAATTTCATTTTTTTCTATTTAATAATATTTATTTCAAACTTGCAAGTTGAGTTAAAAGTTATGGTAATAAATTCATTTTTTTTTTATTAAAACTTTCACTTTAAAGAACAAAAAGAAGTAGGTTCAAAATGATTACTTTTAACATATTAAAAATCAATAATAATTTGAAAATAATTAATTATAAAAATTATATAATATATAATTAAAATAATTACTAATCTGGATATAATTAAGGAAATAGGAGTTGATGTTGGGTTGGGTTGGTTACATTTTTAACTTTATAATGCTATAACTCATTGAAAAGTGTACGAATCAACACAATTTTTTTATGAGAAATAATATTTTTTAATAATCCCTTTTTCATTCGACATACTTTATCTTAATCAGGGTATTAATAAGAAACTAGCAGATAATGTAGCTTTTGTAATTATCCACCAATTTCTTAGAATTAAACACTATCTACTGATTTGCATCGAAGCGTTTCTTATGATAGTGATTTTAATCACTGTCAGATTAAATCTATACTGGACCCAACTATGCAACATCCCCACTATGCCGCGACCCCACTGTGCTGGGTTTTTTTTATTTGATTATTTTATATACATAATAGTGTATTTTATGAAATGTTCAATTAAAATTTAATTCAAATATATATTGCTTGAAGTGCTTGAGGATATATCCATGTTTGCAGTTGAGTTCTGACGTTTCGGACTCATTGCAGAGTCCATCTTCAGAGTGATGGTTGCTAGTCGGTGGCTGCAACTATACAAATATATATATATATATAAGATAACTATAAAAACATGCTCATTTTTATGTTTTTTTAAAATTATAAATATAATAATTTCAGGGTAGAAACATAAGCTATAGTACTTCGGATTATAGGACGTCAAGTTATAGTACGTCGTCTTTTGATAATTATGATGTAAGTATTCAAATGTTCATTAAACTCATAAATTCTGACGAGATTGAAACTTAAGATTAGCTAATATTAAAATAATATTTTTAAAATGATATAAGTCAATAAAGTAAAAAAGTTCGCACATACACATCTGATCAATATTATTCTGTAATATGATTATTGGTGGCGATTCGAGTAACGATAATTTTTATAAAAAAACAATTTAATTCATATAGATAAAATTTAGTGTAAGTAGATTTAATACTCGTATACTTTTTCTGTTTAGCATAGACCAACCGTAAAATATACAAGTGAAAATTCACATAATACAAAATCAATGTTAATATTCCTTTAAAATAAATTACAAAGTATTTAAAGTGGAGAAATATTTGTTTTTTTATAATATTTTCAAAAAAATATCTTAATTTGAAATTTATTCATATTTTTCTATTTATATATGAATTGAATAATTTTTATTGTATCAATTTAATAATAAAACATTACATTTTTTTTCACAAATAAAAAATATATCGACATTGTAATTTTAGTCCTGAAGTTATTGAATTTATCATATTATCGTTACTTATCATATACGTATCAAAATCACCCGTGCATCTTTTTCACTTTTTTACTAAGTTTTTTAAATAAATGAGTTACGCTTACAAAGCTCAGTTGTAGGTTATGTAAGTTTTTCCATTCTCTCCAACACAAGTAACTCCTTTAAGAAGGAACAATCAATGGATGGATTTCATGTGAAGGAGGTACAATTATATATAGTAACTTTTCAGGAGTCTAAAAAGACGTAATATGTTATGCATAAAAACTTCACTTCATTTGGTCATCATTAAATAAAAAATAGTAGTATGAATATAAAATTACAATGAAAGTTAAATTTTCTCACGAAACCAACATATAATACAAAAATACTCGTCACTGATTTGCTCCATTACAGGAACTCTATATTAATAGTTCATATCATAAAAATAAAAAATTCAATTGTGTATTTATTATTATTACTCTTTTTATTGCTATTTATGTTTGACGTTTGTTAGATAGGACGGAAAACTTACATAGCTCAGCGCAACGGAATTTAACCTCAATACCTATAGACTGAGGCACAATGCTTTCCCGACTGAGTTATGTAAGTCGCTTACCTACCTACCTAATTCACTCTAAAGATTCTTAAAATACAAAAAAAAAATTATTTTGGATGGTGCGTGTTGATTATTATATTAGAGGCCTTATACAGAGATTCAGTAAATAAAGAAATAGGTAATTTGTTACTAACAAAAAGAACAAGAGAAACGCTTTTCCTTAATTATTAAACACTCTTTATATTTTTCTGTTTAAGAATAATAAATTATATTTTAAGTAATTTTATCCTAATGGCTTATTTATAATAACAATAATTAATTTTTTTTTTATTATAATTTATATATTTGTGTATTTTATAGGGGATGATTTAGAGTAAACAGTCATTAATAATAATATTATAGATGAATGACAATAAATTTATTCAGCATATCGTCATCAACAACTTAGTTTTTAATCTTTTTACGTCTTCGCGTTGTGTCTTTTAAGTAATGTAATAAAATTGCAAATTATACATTTTTTTTCAAAATTTTTATTACAATATTGTAAAAATTACACATTTTATTTTTCAAAATAAAATTTATTGTGAAATTAAAAGATTTGTATTGAAGCGTTTTTTATGAGAATTGTGTTAATTACTGTAAGATATATATATTAAGTATGTATAATGTATTTTGAAAAAAAAATTTGTGTTGATACATACATTTTTCGAAAAGTTATAGCAATTTATAGTTGAAAATTTTAAATCGAAAATTTTAACACATTGTAATGTTGCAGAATTTAATTAGTTTTTTAATAAATGTTATCAATGAGAGGTGTGTGCAGTAGGTGTAAAGCATAGGTTCTCAAACTTATTTCATCTACTGCCCACTTTGAGCATCAAAAATTTTTTAGGCCCCCCTCAAAAAAAAAAAAAATTTAACTTATCATATATAATTAACTTATTATATATATATATATATAACAAGCAACCGATTTCTTTTTTTTGTTACTAGTGTTGTTACGGCACTGAATCCACGTTCAGACAAATATGATGAAGGGAATGGTATCAGAAATCGTTGAACAATTGACCATAAACTAGGGTAGAGTTGCATGATTGGCTTTTGCAGCCAAAATTCTTGATAGCCATTCTTGAATTTAAATTTGATTTCTTCATTCGTGGTCAATTCTAAAAGTTGTTCTTCTATCTGGGATGATTCTGCTGTGTTGACATTTGAAAATGGATCTAATACCCAGTTGGGTATATCCATGTTTAAAATGTCCTGGAATCGTTCTTTGAAATCACTGTGTAAGTTCTCCAAGTGTTGGCAGTAAACAACCAAGTCGTCATTGATAAAAGGAGCTGCTGATAAATTAGGAAAGTTATTAAATTCACGTCTACCAATATTTCTCTTGTAGAATAGCAGTTTAGCAACAAATGTAGCAATGACAGTTTTTGTTTTAATTAAGTTCAAGTCGTCACCTTGAAGTTGGAGATTTACATCATTAAATAACTTATAGAGATCTGTCAAGTACGCAATATCATTCTTTGAAGTGATGAGGTTATCGTGAAGTCCTGTTTCTTTGTTTTTCAGGAACTCTATCACAGAGTCAAACAAATTATAAAACCGAGTCAGACAAGTACCTTTTGAGAGCCAGCGTACTTCTGTATGAAGCAGCAACCGGTTGAAATCTTCATCATTAGCAACACAAAGTTGACTAAATAATCTGTCATTTAATGAGTTGCTTCTGATTTTATTAACGGCTTTAATAACATAATGCAGTGATGTATGAAGGCGTTCACTCAGATTTCTCGCAACTAAATGCTGGCGATGAATGACGCAATGTATGGCAAGCACGTCAGGAACTTTATTTTTTAAATAAGCTATGAAGCCCTTGTGACGCCCTGTCATAGCTGGAGCACCATCAGTAGCAATTGACATAATATTCTTCAGGGGAATTTGCTTTTCATCACAAAACTTTTCCAGTGTATTAAATATTGTTTCTCCTTTTGTATATGTCTCTAAATTTCTCGCAAATAATAGTTCTTGACATATTTTCTCATTTTTTATAAACCTCACGTATGATAACAATAATGCTTCATTAGTTGGTAAAGTGGACTCATCCAATTGAACTGAAAATTGACAAGTCTTCAGGTGATTACACAATGATTCTTCAATATTTTCCGCCATTTCATCAATTCTTCGTTGTTCAGAACTATTGCTCAAAGGAATTTTTCGGATAATATCTGCCGCTGGTTTATGGAGCACAGTTGTTATTACTTCTTTTACTGCCGGTAGAATTAAGTCTTCCCCAATGGTATGAGGTTTGCCTGTTTTAGCAATTAACAATGATATATTGTACGATGCGCGAAGTCCATCATTTTCTTGTTTGGAAGCAGCAGAAAAAAGTGTCGATACAGTAGGTTGAGCTAGGTATTTTTTTTCCATATTTTGAAAATAGGTGACATCTTTGCCTTTCATGTCTGGATGCATTTTATTTAAATGATCGTTTAGTCTAGAAGGCTTCATTGCTTCGTTTGAAAATGTTTTTTGACAAATAAGGCACATTGGCGATGATGGATTTGTCCGACTTTGAATAAATCCGTATTTAATGTATTCCGCACTGTATTGTCTTTTTTTCTTTTTTGCTTCCGACATATTTTTTACTTCCTAGGTATTTTATACGAGCAATCAAAACACAATACGGCCAGCACGAAGCGACACCAAATCGTAAACTAAAATGTTCAAATAACCGAAGCCTGAGTATACATTGTGTATTGGACGTAGTGTAATAATAAATACTAAATTATCAGCTATTGTCGCCGTTTCGATAACGCTAATCATTATTATTTACGGGAGACGACGAAAAACTTCTAGGAACTATTTATATCTACACGATAATAGCTAAAAACCTGTGGCCCGCCACGTCGCACAATACGTATTGGTGGTAAATCATTAGCATCATATTATAAGTTAATTCGCGATCAGTGAGTGAGTAGTATTTGGCTTTAATATAATTTTATTTTTTTTTTAATTTTTATTTTTTATATATATCTAGATTCTAGATATATATTAGGCTTAATCAGCTATCGCCCCCTAAATCCAACTCAACGCCCCCAAAATTTCTTTGGGCATTCTACCACCCCCCTAAATACTACCAACGCCCACTAGGGGGCGTTATCGCCCACTTTGAGAATGACTGCTCTACANGCTCACTTTGAGAATGACTGATGTAAAGTATTTTAATAATTGTGTATATGATAACCTCCACTAGTCAACCAGTCTGATATCTGTCATCAGCTGACCGTACACTGTGCACCTGTACCAATATTGTTATGTCCCCTCAATGAACGTGTTCAAAGTTGGCACCACCACCACCCGGCGTCACGATCACCGGCCACTACACAAATGCCAACATTTTTTTTTTCTCATCTATACCACCGAGGCGACAAGTTGTCTGTTTTTTTTTGTTGTGAAAACCACGTTTTTGTATTTTTTTTGTCCTCCGTTTTTTTTTCTAATAAAATAAAACGTTGAGTCGACCGGTCGTCAACTTGTGTCAACCAGGCTGTTCAGTTTTTTTTGTATAAAATAAAACGTCGAGATGTCCATGATGGCGTAAGGCACAACTATGGCCGGTGGTGGGCCGTCACTCCTCAAATCAACAATCAACAACAAGTACAACATCAATAAACCCCCTTTTTTACCCCTTTTTAATTTTATGTATGAAGCACCTCCTTTTTTTTTCTTCTTCTCCTTTTCATAGTCATTTCCTATGAATATATTTATATTTAAAATAGTAGTTTTAAACTTTTAATTAAATAATTAAAAAAATGTTGTTATATTATACATGGCCTTTTTTTTTTCTTCTCTATACTTTTCCCTCATTTTTATTAACATTTGTTTTTTTTTTGTTTTTATCAAAACCTAGTAGCTCCGCAACAAGTACTATCTTGTTTGGCGCGGCTACTAGGTCACTGTCCAGTGTTCCCCCTGGGCAGTGGGTAATTAGTAGGCCCTCTGTTTGGCTGAAACCTTACAACATAAATAACAATTTTTTAAAAATGGCAGCCATTTTCACATAGAAGATAAGGTGTAGGGACAATTTTTTTTTTCAATTTATAGTACATGACTTAAGCTTTAATTTGATATATGTTTAAAGGACGCAGTATTTTCAAAACATTTTCAAAAGTTAAGTTCAAAAAGTTAGTTTTTGTAAAATAGTTGCTATTGTAATATAGGTCATTATTTTATAAAACTGAAAACAAAGCATTTTTGTAATGTTTGGTTTAACTATGAATTTCTTGATCTATTATTACAAAAATATAATATAGTCTATTATTTGTAAACCTAGAAGTAGAACACTTAGGTAATGTTTAGATTAATTTTAATTTCCCAAATTATTGTTACTAGACCAAGAAGTAAATATTTATAAACATTTTTGAAAATAATTACTATATGAATTTTATAAAAAGACAAACAAAATATTTTAGTATATAAGATGAAATGGAATGAATTGAAAGGGAGAGAAAGAGAAGACCTCGGGAGTACCGAATATAATCTCTTTCTGTGTGGTACGTTTGTGACATTAAGTTTTTATTTTGTGTATTATTTATTTATCCGTTTTTAAGTGTATCAATATTTTATATGTTTTATTTTGATTGATTATATCTTTATTAACTACATTTTGCGTTATTATTGAACTACTAAAACTATAAGTTAGAACAAAAAGATTGTTCCATATTTAAAATACAAGAAGTGATATATAAATACAACACTATTTTAAATCCCCTACAAAAAAATCATAAAATATATATATAACATGATAGGTGGTCTTGTAACATGCCTGCTATATTAAGTGACCTAAATAAAAGAAAATAGGGGCACCTACAGAAAAAATTTAATAAAATAAAAAACATTTCGCCACACGTGCTTAAGGCATGGCTCACAAAAAAAAAAAAAATATATGGCTCAAAACATAAAATAATAAATATACATTACCAGCCCCGAAGGGCTAACGAAACAGAAGGCAGGTTTAGCCGACGCCAATAAACGAAAAAAATTACAATTTATTAATAGTAGCGGACACTCGTGAAAAAATATTTATAAACAATCACGATGTTGCAGCGCTCACAACAACAACAAAAAAAAAACTCCGCTACGGACGTGAAATAGTACGATCAGTTCCGACTATGACTATTCCCCGACAAAACTTCTGTCATTTGACCCGACAGTCTGTTGGCGACTACATGACTAGCCTTTAGAGTAGAAGTCAACAAATTTTACTACTAAGTGCCGGAAATTATTAAGAAAAGTTTGAATCATCACACATCATAAGACGACAATGTAGGTGGTGAGCAGTACAAATGACGTTCAAGATAGGAAAGGAGCGGAGTAAATGTACATACAAATGCCGTCCATGAACCGATCCGAAGAAGTACACAGCTGACTATCTCGCACGCGTACAAGCAAATCACAACACCATATCATGATTATTTAACTGACAAACGACGTCGCAGTATGCATTCGGCTCAACAAAGATAATTCGGAACACAAATATATATACAGGGTGTTCAGTAAGTCAGGAAACTGGTTTCTATTGTTCTCATTGTTTGTAACAATGAGAACAATAGATACCCGTTTCCTGACTTACTGAACACCCTGTATATGTCACGTTACAAACATTTTCAACTTTTAAAATATACTTTTTTGGTTGTTCATCTTCTTCTTGATGGACATTATCTATAGTTATTTTAATCATTAGTTTTTTAGTATTATTATTAAAATATTAATAGGATCATCAAACAATGATAAGCAAGTTGTTTCTTCCACAAGGTACCATAATTGATTAATAAATTTCTTTATTACCAATTCAGCCACTTTTGGGTCATCAATTTTATAATTTTCAAGTGTTCTTAAAAAAAGAATCTCATTATAAGGTGCTTTAATTACATCTGGACATCTAAATCAAAATTCTACATAACACTTAACTATAAAACAACACACTGTTTTTAATGATCCAATTTTTGCTTTTGTTATTGTAAATTATCGTGAAATAATAACATTTTTAAACAATGAATTCCCTTATACATCCACCTAGCATGATGGTAAGTTCCTGGATGTAGAAAGTTAATACCTCTAGATGGTATACCATCCAAAAAAATAGTAACAAGTTCCAAAAATTCTTTATAATCATCTCTCGATTGATTTTCATTTAAAGTTTCTATAGAAAATTTTATAACATCATCGGCTACACTATGCAATATTTGTTTGACCTTTATATCGCTTTTATAAGTACTAAAGCGTGTTTGGTCTATTTGTTTCTAACCATTTTTGAAACGTTTAAAAATAGGAATTTCGGGCAGGACATTGCTGTTAGTATGGAATACGAAAAAACGGATTGCAAAACAATTTCTAAGACATGATGTCGACAAGCCAAAAATAATATTGATCTATTTAACATTTGCTCTAAAAGCACATATGATTCATTTAACCTACCACTATTGGAAGCCATTGTGTCAAAGATAAACGCTTGTACTTTTTCTAACAAATCCCAATCCTTTAATGTATCATAAACGGATGATGAAATTTCTTTTCCAGTGCTAGATGATATTTGTGGGACTCCGAGGATTTTTTCTTTTTTTGGTGCTGTTATAATAACAGGTAATCTGTCCACATTTTCCGTTTCAGTAAAATTTTGTAGGATTTTTGAATCCCAATGGGCGACTGCAAAATTTAAATTTAACTCGTGGAAGGATTTTTTAATTTCTAATGATAATTGTTCATGAAATATTTCGTGACTTTTTTTTATTGACAAACGATTAATTGCGTAATCTTTTACATTTATAATAAATATTTCGGCAAACGCTATTATTAAATGTAGTGCATTCCTGTCACTAATCGTACATTTATCTAAGGCTGATGCTAAACGACTAGACTAGATTTCTTTTCGGTCTCTTTTAGTACTCAGAGGCACTATGATGTCTTCATTTTCAGAACTTAATATATTTTCCTCACCATCACTTGAAATACTATTTTCCTAGTCAATTCTGTTAGATGAGTCTGAGAAAAAAATAAGATTACAAATAATTGGCACTAATTTTTATAATTTTTCAGGAATTAATTTATTTACCAGGATTCATAGTAGATATTGGTTTCAACATTTCTTCCTTAAGTCTTGTTGAAATCTCCGCTTTCAATTTCACTAAGTTTTTTGTGTACGTCTCCCATACAACCAACACGCCTTTATTGCCTTTTGTTAAGGGCTAGTTTAATACTTGGAGATCTTGATCAAAACCAAGAATCGAAAGCTACCCGACGTCTGCTCAAATATCGTCCCTATCTCCTTAAATGAGTTTTAATTACCTGAAGGAGACACAGGCAATCATGTACTTTAGTTACAGGGGATAGATTATTAAATAAAGTTAGACTATTGTTTTATGCTAACGAATAAGTAAAGTTATACTTTAGATGTTCAGTAAATATAAGTTATATGTAATATACAATACGTCTGACCTGAATCCTAGTACAGTTGGTTAGTAGGTATATCCAAGTGAGACGGAGTTGGTTGGCTATGATGACGATTGGCGATAGACAGGTCGTTGAATAAAACAAGTTAAGTTATAAATAATATAAATAAGACGAAAGTAATAATATTGAAAACTATGTCTATAATAGCCACTCAAACACAGTTGTCCTTTGTCAGTTCGACGTCAGTAGCTCTGAGCTACAGACGAGTAGAATTGTCACATCAGTATCTCCCTTTATGATTATTAATATGTATTACAAATTAAGTAAATGGAAATAAAACGTGTATAATATAAGTGGTAAGAATATAGTAATAAATGTTCTTACACTTTGTAAAATTAAAAACTGTTTATCCTCTTCAATTTTAATTATATTCAAAGTATTCTCATGAGCAATGTCAAACAAATCATTTAAAAGGTTTTTAAACAAATTTTCATTGGTCTGTTGTGTTGCGGATTTTCCCGATTTATTTTTTTCTAAACTTTGCCAATTATCATATAATTTTTTTAATTTTCAAACTATATCACATTTTTTTTTTTTGAAAAAACAATTTTTTAATATTATTATTTTAATTTTATGTTTAGCGGTCAAGGATACATAATTATATGTTAGAACCTTATATTTTGCTTATATATGTTTCTAAAAAATTGATTCTATAGTTTTTTCCGTCATCTTAAT